CTTCAAATAAGAGATGATGAAAATATAGTCTTACATGCTGGAAGATTATTCCAACAATATGTAGTAGATGAATGGATAAAAATTGAAAGCCAACAATTAGACTTTGCTTTTTTTGATCAAGATTTATTTAGGACTGATGTATTAGACGGAATTTTGGATGTTTTACTTAAGGGGGAAAGAGAAGCTTCACATACAGGAAAACAACACATACTTCCACTTAGCTTTACTGGAGGTCCAAGAGATATGCGTAGACGGTATATGGATGCTATTGCATTAGTGCAACGTTTTGGAAAACCTGATATATTTTTTACTATAACATGTAATCCTTCTTGGCCTGAAATAGAAGAAAAACTTATATCAACTGATGAGGTACAAAATAGGCCTGATCTGGTTAGTAGAGTGTTTAGAGCAAAAGTAGAAGAATTAAAAAATGATATAATGAAAAGGCATATATTTGGTAAAGTTGCAGCATTTATGTATACAATAGAATTTCAAAAACGAGGGCTTCCCCATGCTCACTTTCTTATTATACTAAATGAGAATTACAAATTACTAACTCCAGAAGCATATGATCGATTTGTATGTGCTGAAATACCAGATGAAAATATATATCCCTATTTATACTCACTTGTTACACAACACATGATGCATGGTCCTTGTGGTAATTTGAATCCAACAAATTCTTGTATGAAGAAAAAAGGACGTTGTAAAAATAAGTATCCTAAAGAGTTTGTAGAACAAACAACTAAAGGAAAAAATTCATACCCAATTTATAGAAGACGAAATACAGGAAAAAGTGTGAAAATTAGAGGACACTTTCTTGATAACTCATGGGTTGTTCCTTACAATCCATATTTACTTTGTAAATTCAACTGCCATATAAATGTAGAGATTTGTTCGGATATAAAAGTATTTAAGTACATTTATAAATACATTTGTAAAGGACATGATAAAATAACATTTTATATACAGACTAATGATGTAAACCTAGAGATAGATGAAATAAAAGAATATCAATCTGCTAGGTGGGTATCACCACTTGAAACTGCATGGAGAATATTCGCTTTTCCTATTAGCGAAATGAGTCCAAGTGTATATCATCTACAACTACATCTTGATGGACAACAACTTGTTTCCTTCAAAAGTACCGACAACATTAGTAAAATTGCAAGTAATCTCATGATAAGAAAAAAAATGTTAACTGAATTTTTTTTAATGAATAAATCAAACAAAGAAGCTATGGACCTAAATTTATTATATCGTGAATTTCCAGAACATTTTGTATGGTCAACAACAAATAAAATGTGGACACGTCGTAAACGAGGTCATGTTATTGGACGTGCAGTGACATGTCATCCAACCGAAGGAGAAAGATACTATCTTAGACTTCTTTTAATGAACGTAAAAGGGCCAAAATCATATGAAGATCTGCGAACTGGGAGTACAATATAATTCATTTAGAGAAGCTGCAGAAAAAAGAGAACTATTACTTTGTGATAATAATTTGGTACAATGCATGTCTGAAGCTGCAAGTTATCAAATGCCATCCAGTTTAAGACAATTATTTGCTATGTTATTGATTTATTGTAATCCAACAAATCCTAGAGAATTATGGGAAAGATTTGAAAATCCAATGTCTGAAGATTTCAAAAAAAGTTCAAAGTTAAATGTAAGAGAAATACGTTATAAAGTATTAAATTATATTAACAATATTCTTCATTTAATGGGTTGTGACATTAATGAATTTGACCTAATTTCAGAATATATCAAACCTTCATCAATAGCAAGAGAAGCTAAAGAAGTTCATTACGAAAGAAATATCATTATTAGT